TGTAAATATACACAGACGAATATTCACACAGACAGACAGACAAAAAGAAGTGACAGACACTACCAACCCTCCGTCGCCATGTTAGTCTCCCAGCTTACTTTATAACCTATAACCAAAAGAAACTTGTGATTCTTCTAAGACTTGTGTATCCATTAGCCTGATTAGGTTTAGTTGAATGGATTAGCGAATCGAGGACGGGAACATTATGTAGTATATGACAGGTAGTGAAAAAAGAAGAGATGGAGAAGGAGGGAGGGAGGAAGGGAGGAAGGGGGAGGGAGAGAAGGAGGGAGGGAGGAAGGGGGAGGAAGAGAAGGAGGGAGGGGGAAGAGAAGGAGGGAAGGGAAGAGGGAGGGAGGGAAGGAGGGAAAGAGAGAGAGAGGAGAGAGAGAGAGAGAGAGAGAGAGAGAGAGAGAGAGAGAGAGAGAGAGAGAGAGAGAGAGAGAGAGAGAGAGAGAGAGAGAGAGAGAAATCATAAAGAATATGCTGTTCTAGATTATGAAAAAAGGAAAGTGAAGAAGAACCGCGGGAGGGAAAAGAAGAAATAAAAACAAAAAAAGTCACGAAGAAAAGAAATGAACAAAAAAAAGGAAAGAAAAAGAAGAAAAAATAAAGAAAAAAAGAAGAAAAAATAAACCGTAGGCCTACCTGGGATAGAATGAGGGAAAAATCCAAAGCGAGAAATCGAAATGAAAGCCCCCCCCCCCCCATAGGTCCAAGACGCGCCCTTGTTTACACAGGCTGCGCAATCCGGTGGATTCTGGAGCTAACTCGGAGTTGTAACCTTCCCTCACGCGCTGCGGATCCAATTTTCCGCTACATTAGTCTCTTTCCGCGGCTTCTCTCTCTCTCTCTTTCTCTTTAGTTCTCTCTCTCTCTCTTTTTTTTTGTCTGTTTCTTGTCTGTCTGTCTCTGCCTCTTGTCTGTGTCTGTCTGTCTGTCTGTCTCTCTCTCTCTTTCTCCTCCTCCCTCCCCCTCTTTCTCTCTCTCTCTCCTTCCCCTCTCACTCTCCCCCCCCCCCTCTCTGTCCTCTCCTCCCGCTCCGACTCTCGTTATACACCTATCTTTAGTGACCTTAACAGCATCCGGCGCAACAAGAAAAAAAGAAGCGCGCCCAGGATGCTCGGAGGGAAGTTGCAGCATCTTGCGAACGCCATTGCCCCTCTCCCTCTCCCTCTCCCTCTCCCTCCCTCCCGTGCCCCCGCAATCATCGCCATGCACAATGAATCCATGAATAGAAAATCCGCCGCCTTCTTTATGCTCCGTGTTTGCCCCGGGCCTCGGCGGCGGCGGCGGCGGCGCGAAGGGCGTTCCCGGAGGCTGCTTGGGCCACTCGGCGGAAGGCGAAGGGGAATACACGTGTCCAACTGCACGTTCTGGGGAGCGGGAGAAAGACCGCACAAGCCATATAAACTTCCTCGGAGAAAAAACATACGAACACAGAAAAGTAGAGGTTTAAAAAATACGCATAATTCCCTCCTTCACACATATATGCAACCGCATACACACAATCCAACCACATACACACAAACACAGCCACACACACAGCCACACACACAAGCACTATCACACACACACACACACACGCACACACGGTTAACCCTTTCACACACCTTTTCCACCAACAAGCCCGTTCAGAGACAACGAGAAGGCAAGAACCACCCAGGATGGCAACTCCCCCTCCCTCCCTCCCCGATTTATATCAAGCCCCACCAGAAGGTTTACATACGAACAGTAATTAGTGCAAGTGTACTTAGGGCCTTGAAATATACCGTGGCTTCATTAAACCGAGTGTGAGGCTTTGTCTCCCGGCGGGGGCAAAGCAGGCCCGAAAGAGCAAAGAGAAAGTTACAGGCTAATGGACGCGGGATGTGGACGGGTCTCGATTTCCGCGGCGCCTCCTCATTTGGCTGTTTGCATTGCCCATACGAGGGAGCGGCGCTAATGCATAGTAATGAGTCCCCATTGAAATTTCATGGGTGCGAGGAGGAGAAGGAGGCGAAGGAGGACCTAGACATCTGCTGATGTTTGTGTGTGGCGATCGGATGCTTCCTTTGTGTTTCTGTGGCTGCCTGGGTGTTTGTGTTTCCTTATGGGAACTGGTGCCGCTTCAATTTAGAAGGTAGTTGTATAGATGTGTGCTTTGTGTGTGCGCCCCCCCCCCGTGTGTGTGTAGGGGGGGTACATAGATACTTAGCTAGATAGATAGAAGGTGTAGGACAAAAGGCAAAGAGAGAAAGAGGGAGAGAGAGAGAGAGAGAGAGAGAGAGAGAGAGAGAGAGAGAGAGAGAGAGAGAGAGAGAGAGAGAGAGAGAGAGAGAGAGAGAGAGAGAGAGAGAGAGAGCAAACAAACAAGCAAAAAAGAAAAAAAAAAGAAAGAGCGAAATCATACAAAGTAAGAACCGATTAAAAATAATTCCACACGTTCGGGAATGCGTCCGCTCTCCCCTCTGATTGCAATATTGCGCCGGCCAAAACAACAGCCACGTACGATTTCCGAAATCATACAACGTGAGCATTCTAATAAATATTTAAGGATATTTCCCGCGCCACAATACGGAAGCAGAGCACACTCACTCAGCTGCAATCTCACGCGAGTTGACGATTCAAGGGTTGCAATAAAAAGAAGGAAAATGCGTAAGAGGAAAGGCACGAGGCACGATAAACGAGGGGATAGGTACATGAAGGATGATCCACGGATAGGATACGCGGAAGGGGATCCGTAGATAGGATACAAGAGGCACAATCAGTGGAGAGGATACATGCAGAATGATCTATCCATGCACAGAATATGCAAATAATTTTGTTATGATTGTCTCTACCTTCTGGAGAGGTGCAGATAACAACAACAACAACAACAGTTATATCAAAACGAATTTGAAGTAGTAATGGTAATAATAACGCTGATGATCAAGAAAATGTTAATAAAAGACGATAAACAAAACGAACTCTAACACTAATAACAACTCAACAACAACAGTAATAACAATAATGATTATGATAAAACCAATGATAATAATCGTAATAATGAAAATTATCATAATAATGAACAATGATGATGATGATGATGATGATGATGATGATGATTATGATGATGAGGATGATGATGATGATAATAATAATATTAATAATAATAATAATGATAATAATAATAATAACAATAATAATGACTATCATTATTAGCATCATCATAATATAATTATGATAATAATGATAACAATAGTAATAATAATAATAACAATAATAATAAAATAATTACCATCATCATCATCATTACGATGACAATAGCAATGACAATGATAATAATGATGATGATGTCACTAGTACAATCAAAGATAATAAGGCAGACAAAAGCAAATCCGAAGTTCAAATATTATTAGAAAAAACATCATCTATCATACACACATCTTTCCATCTCATCCGTGAAAAACGTTGCAGCCGTCCTAAAATGTTTTTTTTTTCCAAACGTTCCAACTCCATAATTCCGTCGCTACTGAAAGACATTTCCAAGTCAACTCCCCCCCCCTCTCCTCTCTCTCTCTCTCTCTCTCTCTCTCTCTCTCTCTCTCTCTCTCTCTCTCTCTCTCTCTCTCTCTCTCTCTCTCTCTCTCTCTCTCTCTCTCTCTCTCTCTCTCTCTCTATCTACTTTTTCTTACTTGGTATTTTTTCAATGTATTCTCTTTGCTTCAGTGTTAATGAGTGAAACGACTCAAGGTAAATGCTTCATAAATACTTTTTCCGATTCGTATAAACATTTTTATTTTTTTCGCATCAGTAAACAAGTAAAAAATGGAGAGTACAACCTTGAAGTACCATGTGGAATATTTCATTTTTAATATCCACATGAATTGCGTAAGAAAACGTGCGGATGGGTTGGGTAACATTTTGGCTCGGGGGGGGGGGGTCAACATTTTCATCCGATATTTCAATGTTTTGCCTGCCGAAAAATCTTTAAAAGGTATGAGTAAGTTATATATTTTCTTCTCATCCTCAATGGATAATAATAATACGTACATATATACATACATAGGCACCTGCATTTCTTCATACATGCATACATATGCACAGGCACAGATAAATACATACATACATAAAAAATACAACATACATACACACACAAATACCACATACAACAATCAGAGGAGGAGAGAGAGAAGAGAGAAGAGAGAGAGAGAGAGAGAGAGAGAGAGAGAGAGAGAGAGAGAGAAGAGAGAGAGAGAGAGAGAGAGAGAGAGAGAGAGAGAGAGAGAGAGAGAGAGAGAGAGAGAGAGAGAGAGAGAGAGAGAGAGAGTAGAGAGAGAGAGAGAGAGAGAGAGAGAGAGAGAGAGATAGAAATCGTATTTTGTATCCTTTAGCTTTCTCCGTTGCTAATCACAGGCGCAATAAACAAGATTTTTTGCCTCTCCTTCCTAAGAAAACTTTAGTATTCTCCTCTTGCTCCCTCCCTTATCTCCACCCCCTAACCCCCCTCCGTCCTCCATACATATTGTGTATATATTCTTCCTTGAAAACTTTTTCCTTTGTTTCAGCGTTGTTTTTTTTCTACATCTTTCTACTATTTACTCCCCTACTTTTATCGTTTATAGAAAGTTTGTCGAGTTTCTTTTCCTCTCGCCCTCCTCCGACTCTCTCTCTATCTCTCNTATATAATATATATATATATAATATATATATATATATATATATATATATATATATATATATATATATATATATATATATATATATATTTGTGTGTGTGTGACTTTGTATATGCATATGTGTATTTATATGTATGTATACATATACATACATATTTGTAAGTGTTTTAACATAAACATTCACAAAAAGTAGAGAAAATCTAGCGAATAAATGCCAAAAAAGGAAAGACTTCGAACTTAGAAAAAAAAAAATAAATCATAAACCAACATGAACTGCATAAAACATCATAACTAAACATAAAATGAACACGATCTGAGAACTCGATTAAAAAAAAATATATGGCATGACAACAAAGCCTCTCACGGGCACAGAACAGGATGAAAATAATTACTGAAAATATATGAGAAAAGAAAAGAAAAAAAAGAAAAGGCAACCGCCGCCATACCTCTCAGCACGGAAGAGCAGATCGAACGCAACTCAGCCTCACTGTATTCGCGGCCCTGGAGGGAGAAGGAGGCAGCAGTGGCAGAATAAATGAATATGGTAAATAATAACATAATTTATAGAAAATAAATGATATATGGTAAGCAATAACATAATTTATAGAAAATAAATGAATGAGATATGGTAAACAATAACATATAATGTATAGATGTAAAGGTAAATGAATGATATATGGTATCATATAATGTATATGTATATATAATATATATAATAACATATAATGTATAGATGTAAAGGTAAATAAATGATATATGGTAAAAAAATAACATATAATGTATAGATGTAAAGGTACATGAATGAATATGGTAAACAATAACATATAATTTATAGATGTAAAGGTGTGTTAGTAGTAATAAAAAAGAAGCATGACCTAGGTTAATTTCCGTTATTCATTGACGATGATTGTAGTCTAGAAGTTATTACGAAAACTAATTCAAAAATAACAAGTGTAAGGAACGTTTGTAGGAATTGCGCAAGTTAAACTGACACTGACGTTAAAAGGTAATGGTTCAAGAGAAGCAACAGACGATGCTAATGTCTCTGGCAACGGTAACAAGGACAAGAAAGTGATGGCGATCATAGCCGCGAATTCCCTATCGACTCAGCCATGTCTGTTTGCTACGAGGTAAGTCCGTCGCCGCCGAGACTACGACGCCAGCTGGTCCTACTCACGGGACTTCCTGGCATGCCGGGGTTTCCGGGAGATCCTCGCTGGCCTGGCGGACCTGGAAGCCCTGAGGGTCCTGCAGGTCCAGGCAGACCCGGGTTTCCGTTCTTGCCCTGCGGACCTCGTTCGCCGTCGGCGCCGCGCACGCCAGGCTGCGAAGGGGGAGAGAGAGAGAGAGAGAGCGTTAGTGCGAGCGGAGGCCATGAGACACCCCGAGGACATAGTAATGCTTGGCGCCAGACTGCTTGGCGCCAGAGGGATGAGGGGAGGGAAGGAGGGGGGAAGGGAGGGAAGGAGGAAGGGAGGGAAGGAGGGAGAGAGGGAGGAAAGGAGGGAGAGAGGGAGGAAAGGGAAGAGAGAGAGATGGAAGGAGGGAGAGAGGAAGGGAAGGAGGGAGAGAGGGAGAGAGAGAGAGAGAGAGCGTCAGTGCGAGCGAAGGCCATGAGACGCCTTGAGGAAATAGTATTGCTTGGCGTAAGACTGCTTGGCGCCAGAGGGATGAGGGGAGGGAAGGAGGGGGGAAGGGAGGGAAGGAGCGTAATAACTTCGTATAGCATACATTATACGAAGTTATACGACCAGGCTGCGAAGGGGGAGAGAGAGAGAGAGAGAGCGTCAGTGCGAGCGAAGGCCATGAGACGCCTTGAGGAAATAGTATTGCTTGGCGTAAGACTGCTTGGCGCCAGAGGGATGAAGGGAGGGTAGGAGGGGGGAAGGGAGGGAAGGAGCGTAATAACTTCGTATAGCATACATTATACGAAGTTATACGACCAGGCTGCGAAGGGGGAGAGAGAGAGAGAGAGAGCGTCAGTGCGAGCGAAGGCCATGAGACGCCTTGAGGAAATAGTATTGCTTGGCGTAAGACTGCTTGGCGCCAGAGGGATGAAGGGAGGGCAGGAGGGGGGAAGGGAGGGAAGGAGGAAGTGAGGGAGAGAGGGAGGAAAGGAGGGAGAGATGGAAGGAAGGAGGCAGGAAGGGAGTGAAGGAGGGAAAGAGGGTGGGAAGGAGGGAGAGAGGAAGGGAAGGAGGGAGAGAGGGAGAGAGAGAGAGAGAGAGAGAGAGAGAGGGAGAGAGAGAGAGTCCTCCTAACCCAGACGAAGAGTACTCACCATGCCTGGGGATCCCGTGGGGCCCATGGGGCCAGGAAGGCTGTAGGTGCGCTCGCCGTCGACCTGGATGGCCACGGGGGCGGATTCGCCGGGGGGCCCTGGGGGTCCTGGGGGTCCGGGAGCGCCCACCTTGCCCTGGAAGCCGGGCAGACCGGGCGGGCCGGCGGGACCTAGCAGACCGGGCGGGCCCTGAGGGAGAAAGGCGTCAGGTGTCTGTTGCGTGAGGCCTCGGGCGGGGCGCCGCTGCCGCGTGTGTCACAAAGCAAACCGAAGGGCACTTACGATAGGTCCTGGCAGGCCGCGCGGCCCCACGATGCCCTGGATGCCCGACGATCCCTTGGCGCCGTCCTTGCCAGGGCGCCCTGGTGGCCCCTGGGGGCCGGCAGGGCCCCTAGGCCCAACGCCGCCCATGGGCCCGGGCTCGCCGCGCTTGCCAGACTTGCCGGGCTCGCCCTGCGGGGACACAGGCGGTCGAGGTTATTAATCAGGCAAATGCTGCACACGCAGACATAAGTGTGTGTGCGTGCGCCATAGTTTGCGCATGTGTGTGCGCGTGTTATTTTCTTGGACACAGCAGTGAAACCGCAGGCGCTGTACCTTGAGGCCGGGGAGGCCGGGGTGTCCCTTGGCTCCGATGATGCCCATCTGGCCTGGATTGCCAGTGGGTCCCTGGGGTCCTGGTGGGCCTGGGGGTCCCTCGGGGCCCTCTTCTCCTCTCGGTCCTGCCACTCCGGGGGGTCCTTGGGGTCCAGGCTGGCCGGGGGGCGCAGGCTCTCCGGGCATGCCGGGCTCGCCGCGCTTTCCTGTGGTGCCCTTGATGCCCTCTGCCCCTGGGGGGCCTCTCGGGCCTTCGGGACCCTGGGGGGAGGGGGCTCATTATTCCTTGGGCCGCAGCCACATGTACACCTCAGGGCAGGAAGAACAAAGCAGCTGACAGGAAAGCTGAATGAGGAATAAACAGCGGTCTGTTCTGCACTGACTGAATGAAGACTAATATTTCATGAGAACTATGAGGTTAAAGAAGGAAAAGCGCTTCGGCCAGCACTGCCAAGGCCAGCGCTGAACGGCCCTTGGGACACAGGGCGTCTCGCGCACCCACCGGGAGGCCGACGACACCGGGCTTGCCCACGAGGCCGGGGGCGCCGCCGAGCCCCGGCTCGCCCTTGGGGCCAACGCCTCCGTCGGCGCCGGGAAGGCCCCGCTCGCCGCGCGCGCCGTCCATGCCGGGAAGCCCAGGGGGGCCCCTGTCACCTGCGGGGAAACAGACCGTGACTCGGGGGGGAAGGCGGGAGGAATGAGACGAGGGAGAGAGGGAGAGAGAGAGCGGAAGGCGCCGAGAGAAAGATGGAAACACGGCGAAGGAAGACGAGGCTCTGGGAGCGAGGAGGGAGAAGGCGGAGAGGCCAAGGAAGACGGAAGAGGCGACTTGGAAAGAGGAAGAGATAGATAGATAGATAAGGATATATATATATATAGATAGATAGATAGATAGATAGATAGATAGATAGATAGATAGAGAGAT